CCTCAAGTATAGATATGCGTTTCACGATGAAGCAGCTTCGATAGCAACATCGTGGTGTGCAGCACCGTTAACCGGACAGCGTCTCCTAATGAAGAAGTCATCATTAGTAGGACTTGGAGAGATATCTTCAGGCCGTCCGTCCACCCATGCTGGCTGACTCATGTATCTTGAGGCGGCAGATCAAGAACTGCATACGGCAATATGTCCGTTGTGTTGTTGTCGCATGCGTTTGACGAAGAACGTTGGGAATCCTCGGGAGTCAGTGCCTTGAGCTCAGACTGCCGTCTCTCGAAGTGGTCTCTTAATTGTAGCATCAAATCGGTACTTTACAAGCGTCATAGTAGTAGCAGCTCATAGTTGTATCACCGGATGTTTGTCTGTCACCGCACGAAATCAGTCTTGGTACGCCAATAGATGATCATGTACTTACCTGGGTACTTTGCTCGGCCGAACCGAGAAAAATGGTCGAGCTACATCTTGCATCCTGAATACCTTACTCGACATTGACTTACTCTAGTCTGCGTGCTCGAGCTTGGTTGGTTTTATTCCAGAAACTTGATTGGGGACCTTGGACAGTTTCGATATTTACCAAGTACCTGCGTGAGGTTTCTTGCATAGAGCGATTGAGTGCGTACGTGTGTCTTGGTTGATATTGTAGCGAGAGATGAGGACAGCTTACCATGCTGCGCCTGAAGTAGCCATCTCCATGCTCAACCATGGTACCTAGGTAGTCATGATAATATCCAACCAAGGTACCTAGGTGTTATGGTAACAACAGACTCTGCAATGGTTGTGCGATGACTTGTTTGAATAACCCATACAGTATCGAACTATCAGTATCATGATGTATGTATCAAGACACCACTATGTTCGCGAGAGGACGCCCTACACGTTATTCTGGGGTCCAGCTTATTTTTTTTGGATGAAAACTTAGGCGTACCCCAATCCTCACAGATTTCCCATTCAGGAAGCACTCTTACTCGAACCCAAAGCACCGATTCGGGCATCATTCCGCCAATGCTAGGCTCAAACAAAAAACGGGATGTTTCTCATGACAGCAAAAAAAAAAGCAGATGGCGAGGCATGGAAGTAAGGTAGAACACCAAATACTTTCATCATAGCCTCCAGCCTAGAGTATACATGCTAATTCCCAACGATAAGGCCTACCAGTGCTCGATCTTCTGTACAATACCTTGGCCGTCATCGATCTTAGTGCCGTCAACTTGATTAGTACCTGCTCATGTCACCACAGCTTCTATAACACCCTACCATTATGCAATCTTTCGTCGACACGAGCAAGATCAGGCCCTACGAGAACAGAGCACATGGTCTGCCGACGGGTGACTATCCACCTACGATAAGCTACTATACGGCTAGTTAAGTTTTGTGGTATAATTTGTTGAGCATGGCCTTAGTTGCCAGTGGCGCGTTGTAGTACGATGTGTGTCAAGATGCATCTATCAAGTTGTAGCATAAAATTAGCAAAGACGAATACTTATACTACGCCGAAGCGTAGATGGATACATGTATATAAAAGCTATGCTCAATCTATTTACTCATCATCACCAGCAGCATGTGATGCTCATGACGCTGAATCTGCGGCAAGGCCAAACGGCCAAAACTCGATACCCAGAACGCCAGAGAAAATGCAACTCGCGAAATCATTCTTTCATACCTTTGTTCCTCATCACCATCAGACAGTCGTTATGAAAACTCAACGCGACTTCCTCCTAACCTAGCTTGCTTAGCCTGTGCGCGCTCTGCTCTCCGCCTACGCCTGTTGGAATCGTAATTACTAAGGTCCGTTTCCGTGCCATTGCCGTAGATAGGACTACCGCTCAAAACAGTGTCCGCCGCTGGGATCGGCGGAGGAGGTGGGATGTTGCCGTAGTCCGGAGATAGGTTTTGGTTGTTACCGAACATCGGTGGTGGACCTGGTGGAGGAGGAGGAATGTTGGCCTCGGGCATGCGTAAGGTGCTCGAACTAGGCATGGGCATTGGCGGAGGCACTCCAGATTGCTGTGCCATCTCTTGTGCCTGTGCTGCCTCCATGGCTTCCGTCCTGCGCCAGCGGTCTCCTCCAACGCCACTCAGTGAACTGACACTACCAGCGCGGTTCTTTCGACGGTCCCTCCTCCTTGCCTCACGTTCTGCTGCTGCTTCTTCTTCGTTTAGTCGTCGTAGGGTGACATGCCGACCGTCATTGTGCATCTTGACTTTCACTGATACAGGAGGAGATGCCACGTCGTCTCTACTACCGCGGCGCTCCTTCTTAGAAGGAGATCCAGCAGAAGTCACCGTGCCTGCTGCAGCCGCACCAGCGGGCAGCACAGGATTGTCTCCGGTGCGACGTCGGCTATGGTGACGGCCTCCAGGAGAGTCATAGGCTTCGGATCCAGAGTCGGACAGGACACTATATACACCAGCGCGAGGAGGGCGACTAGGGTTGGGCGTGACGGTAGAGTCCATAGGTCTGGGTGGACGTGGTGCCACTGAAGGTGTAATACCGGTCATGTCGCTGTCAGACAGAATAGTAGATGGCGGTCTGTTGCCTCTCCTCGGCGTTCCGTCGCCCGTGTATTTCTTACGACGTTGGCTGTTCATGCGAGCGATGCGTTCTTCTTCTTCATCCTGTTGCCTCATCTCTTCCACACGCTCGTCTTCCTTCTTCTTACTGCGTCGGCTCAGAGAATGCTTCAGGAAACCAACCACACCAAGCGAAGCGACTCCTTCCTTAAGTCCATATGATCGATCCCTAGGTCTCATCTCGGTCTCTTCGCTAAGACTGGTCCGACTATCGAAAGAGTCGATCGATGTTACACTTCCAGCTGGACGATGACCACTCCGTAGATTACTTCCAGACATTGCCGATGCTTGCGGATTGTCACGACGCCAGTTGTCACGACGGTTTGCTGGAGACTCAGGCGCTCTTCCTTCTTCAAGTCTAGAAAGGTCGGTCTGGGTGACTTCGGAGGGTTCAACTGGGCGGCTGTAACTGAAATCGCTTCCTGTCTCTGTTGGAGGATGCTTCGGCTTGCGAGTGAACAGCTTCTTCACGGCGAAGATGCCTCCAGCCGCGGCACCGGCTCCTAAAAGACGATCTTTCCATGTGGAACCCTTGTTGCGATCACCACCGTATTTTTCGTCGCTCAAGTAGGATTCCGTGAACTCAGAGTCGGCGACACGAGAACGTGAATCACGCCGAGAACGAGAGCCAGGTCGTGAACTGATCACTGTACCGCCACGTCGGCTGCGAGTACGGCTTCGAGATCTTCTTGACCCCAGCGCGGCTAATCCTGCACCGGCTGCACCGGCTGCTGCAAGCTTTCCAACGCCAGGCCCTCTACTCGTCCGCCGGCTTCTCCTGGTACTGTAGGTCATGTCGGTTACGTAGGTGCTACGATCGTCAAAGTCCATCTCTGGTTGGGTCCTGTACGAAAGGACGAAGTAGAGGACCACTAGGATGAACGTCCATATGGCAAAAAGGATGAACAAAGCTAGCGGTGATCCGTAGAGAGTCAACCCCAGGGGAACCTGGGCAATTCCAAGGAGTGCGATAGTACGGCCTAGCCATTGGTGGATCTGAACATGTCAGTAATTGTTGAGATGACTCGTGTCTTGTACATACCATAAGTTTGAGAGGAATCTTGAACCGTTCCTTGCCCTTCTCTAGTCTGTGTATGACAGAGCCACCTAGAGCTTGCACCATGACAAGAGTATATAGCGCAACGCCAATACCGTGGTGCGGGTTGGTCAGGGATCTTTCGAGGCCGACAGCCTGGAAGCTGCAGATGATGGCAGCAGTCGAGAGAAGAACTGCCAGCACTTGCAACCAGATGTGGACTCGCAATGCGGTTCGCGGGTTCCGATGGTAGAAGCTAGCCATAAAGATAGCTGCCGGTATCACGAACAGGAAAGCAATGGCAGCTAAAACGCCGTGCGCTGTGATGAGAGCCTTGTAGCCGGCCATGCTACGAAAACGATTGCCCATGCCTAAAAGGTCAGCGGGTACATTCTTCTTCTAAGGGCGTGCCTTCTCACCATTCAATCGCATCGTCTCAAAGTTTGGGCCTTGCAAGTTGGGCAGCAGAAAAGTGTTGCGCTGCGAATCCCATGTTCCGTCTCCCACGTGCATCGTGGCCGAGTCGTAGACACTCGACCCCGGATCCGAAAGTCCAGACATTGTTGCGGCGAAGACTCGTTTCCAGATCAAAGGCGAATTCGTTCAGAAACAGTCGTGAGATAGATGCGTAAGTCGTTAAACACACCAGGCTGACGGACGAGGTAACGACAGAAAACCGGAATCTCGCTAACAACGCAGGCAAGCAACGATGAACTGGAAACAGAGAGTCGTAACGTCGTGACAGGCGTAAGAATAGCGAATGTGAGCCTTGCGCCGTGGAGCAATTACACGCAGGCTGAGACCAGGCGGTGGTGTGGTAGTGTAGAGCGTGTCCGTGTGGACAGCTCACGGTGGTGGGGGAACGTCAGCTCCTGTCGCCGCCGTACGGTTCGACGTCGTCTGGGCGAAGAGGTTTCCGAGGAATGCAGGTTGCGAAATCTTGTCCAAAGCAATGCAGCTGCAGATGTCACGAAAGGATGGAATCGGTAGCCAGCTCAACTAGCTCGTCGAGGGATCCACCTGCGCCTATGTTTATGGGTCGAATGGCCTGGCAACGTAATCGATAGGTCTCTGGCGGTGAGTGGCTGGGGCTGGCCAACCACAACGCCCCAAACCCCTGCACCCAGCCGCCCAGATTATGTTTCAACGCGAATTTCTGGTTTCCGAGGCCGATTAGCTCGCGCGTCCCTTGAACTGCGATGCGTTGGCAATGAGGCGAACGGTCACTAGGACTTTTAGGCTTGTCGGCATGTTCAACCCCGTGTTCGCAGGTGCATTAGGAAGGAGACTGTGCAAAGAGAAAAATTTGTTCCAAGTGGTATCTCGAGTCCGTAACGCCGACAGAAACACATCACATACACGCTCATCACAAAAGACGTCATCCTTCAACCTCCAGCATTTCCCTTAGCGCCTTTTCAGACGCTCGGAGCCATCTGCCTCTCTCCTCTAGCTCATCTCCGATCCCACCGCCTTCTTCCTTCCGTCTCCGGGCCTCTTTGGCTGCCGCTACGGTTCCCTGTTTCTGTGTCTCTAGTGGTCTCAGCTCACGCTCGAGCTTCTCCAGGTCTCTGGTCCGGTTCGGGATGGTAGCTTGGAGACTTGCTATTTGCGCATTCAGGGCTGCGAGTTCCGCTTCTCGTTCGCTGAGTACTCGCTGAGTTTCAGGAAGTGGCAGAGACAACTCAGGGTTCTTTGATACTGGTGTTTGGTCGTTCTTCAACTGCTCAAGTCTCGCCTCGAGGCCTGCAATCTCGGCTGGAAGTGACTCAAGCTGTTGTGTGCGTAGTTGCAGCCCCTCGTAGCGCAACGCAAGCTCTTTTCCCTTGTCCTCCAGCTGCTTCAAGATCTCAGCTACTTCCAACTTGCGCTCCTTGAGCTCTGCTTTCAGAGCCAGTATCTCTCTCTCCTTCTCATCATTCTCCGGAGCCTCGACTAAGCGGGGTGGGTTTTCCGTTATGCTGCGCAGGAACTTCTCTTTGGTGACCTGTTCGACATAGCTGAAGCGTAGTTTGCTGAAGAGTTCCTGCATCCTTGGTCAGACGTGAATTCTTGGTAGGGTCGCGAAAACACAAACTTTGTAGTGGAGCAGATCAGCTTCAAGGGCTGCCGGGTGGGTGTCGCCGTTCTGTTCGCTGTCCTCTGATGCTGCAGAATTGCGCTTCTTCTCAGCCTGTGGGAGATCCTTTGGCGATAATGTTTCGGCAATGGCCAGAAGCTTCAGCGACTTGGATTGCTGTAACTGTTCCAGTACTGATTCCGGTGTTGGCGGAGCCGATTTTCGTTTGGGTCCCATGTTGCTCGTCGTATGTATGTTGATTTGCAGAGGGATTGAATGTTTAGGCAATCGCGACTGCCCGCGTAGGGCTGAGTTCCCCGCGGCGACTACCGCATGCAGCTAGCCCGGCCCGTCGCATGGCCCGGAATGATTTCACATGGCCGTCCAGGGTTCTCGGGAGCCCAGACTTCAGCGACTCTTCCATCCACCCACACAACAGCCGCCGGTCATGGCGCGCGACATAGATGACGATGCATACGTTGCAGAACTACTCAAGCAAGATGCGAAGAAGGCCACAAAGACATATGAGCTTGTTGGCATCGATGCCTTCAATCCGAGGAGGTGCGTTACAAGCTTCCGTACCCGCGATGCCGTTGCATACGCGTTGAAAGTACACAAGCACTCGTTTGCGGGATTTCTCAGGCTCACGTCCACAGGATGAATTCTCGCGCGCCGAGACCGAACAAGAACTTTTTGCAACACCTTATTCGCCAGACTGATAGTCACAATACTGCGCTCCTTGCGAAAGAGGCGGAGGAGTCACGCGCCCGGCTTAGGAAGATGGACCGCGACCGGAAAAGGGCGGGCGGTCGCGAAGAGGACAATGGCAGAGGCCCCGAAGGACGGCTGACCACAGCAGCAAGCGACAGTAACGGCCACGACGCAACGCCGCGCAGACGGCGAGACCGAAGTGAGGATAAGAGCAGGCATAGGAGAGAGCATAGAAACAGGGAACGGGATGCTTCGGCGGGTGTATCATCCCGTCGACATCGAGACAGAAGTAGAGATGAGTATCGACATAAGAGAAAACATGATAGTGAAGAGGAAGACCGTTCCCGTCGGAAACGGATACGATCGAGGTCTCCCCGAGACAAATCGCGCAAAGACAAGTACAATGAAGAGCAAGAGCGTTGGAGACCTCGAAGGAGAGACGACACCGAGCGCAAACATACAAGGCACAGGTCGCATTCTAGAACATCTTCGCCATCACGGTCACGGCATACCGAAAGACATAGGAGACGTAGTAGGCATCGAGACCGAACTCGTTCTCGAAGTCCAAAGCAGAAGCACACTACCACCAATTCGCATGAAGACGACCGACGTTCCAATAAACGATCCGCATCCCCAGCATCCGACTCTGATCCCCTCGAAGCTATCGTAGGCCCAATTCCACCACCTTGCGAACCCACCGTACGTTCCAAAGGACGTGGTGCTTACAAAGCAAATAACATGGGCATCGAATCGCGATTCTCTTCCACCTACGACCCCTCTACAGACGTTTGCGTAACCTCCGATGTGGAAGACGACTGGGGTGATGCTCTGGAAGCCTTGCGCGACCGTGCCCGCTGGCAGCAACAAGGCGCTGATCGACTCAAGGCCGCAGGGTTCACAGACGCGCAGGTGAAGAAGTGGGAAAGAGGAGACACACAGAATGAGGAGGATGTGGTGTGGACAAGCAAGGGCCAGGCGAGGGAGTGGGATCGAGGCAAAGTTTTGGATGAAGATGGAGACGTCGAGCTCAAGGCTGATTTTGGGCGGCTGAAGTGAGAGTTTGAGCTGGCAGGAATGTGGATGACACATCGATTTGATACAATACTGATACCTCTAATTCCAACTCTAATCGATGTTTCCGTACTCTTCCAAATCACTCCCAGTGCCTGCCTAGCAAGCCGAGTGCCTTGTTGTCCATTAGCTTCCATTGCCTCTCGTCATAAGATGCATTATCGGAGTCTGTATCCGGAAAATTCAGATCGCTACGCAGAGTCTCGACTTCGGCTTTGTCGCCCACGACCGTACTATCGTCGCCGAATTCGGAGTGCGGATGTCGACTGGCAGTATGTGCAGAGTGCGTCTGCAGAAGCGCATTGTTCTTGCTACTACTGCCGCTGTAGTTACCAGACTGGGGAATTCGGGGTGGCGGTAGGTAAACATCTCGAGTAGGCAATCCATGGCCTTGTAAGAATAAACGCGGACGGACCTCGAGCCCAACAGCGTTTGGGGGATGTGGTGCGATAATGTGGAAGATTGGTGTACGAACTGGTTTGCTGGCTAGTTCAAAAGCTCCTCTACTTGCTGCTGCTGCTTCTGCTTCTTTATCTTCGACTTCATGATCTCTTCGAACGATATCCGAATTGGAACTGGAAAACCCTGACCATAGCCTTGGTCTGGGTTGGTGGTCTGTTGCATTGTTCCTTCTCAGTACGTCTTCCAGTGGCCCACTAATCTTGAGGTGCTTGTCCATTCGCTCTATGTGCTCACTGGTGTCGTCAAGAAAACTGCCTCTGTTCTTCTTGCTAAGTATGACTGCAACAAGGACAACGACAAGGCTAGCGAAAATGGCACTGATAGCGATAAATGCAGGTTCAATGTTGGGATCATGTGAAGAAGCAGCAAAGCCTGGAGGAGGTGCAAGCCATAAAGTCGGCAGCGAAATGGCTACCAACGACATAGTGAGAGTTGAGTTGTTGTTGGTGGTGCTCTAAAGTCATAGAAAGAGAATAGAACTCTCTGCGGTGTAGGCAATTATGATGTATTAGAAAATGTATATGAACCCTCCATAATCAATACATGCAAACGCCATAACGCACACTTCACGTCTAATGCACTGATATCGCCCCTTCACGCCTTCAATCTTCCTTCTTCGCGCATCGATCGACTGTCGAGGCCTCGACGTCTACTTGCAACGTATGCGCATCGTCCGACGTCTTTCCGCTGCCTTTTCTCTTTCTCAACTCTGCCATAGAGATCGGTGGCTTGGTCTTTCTTACTTCTTCGTCAGGTGAGCTCATCTTGCGCATCTCCGACTCCAGTTTCATGGCTAATCTTTGCAGCAACCACTGAGGCTCGGATTGGTTGCCCATGAGCGGACTGCGAATGCCGAGCCAGCTCCATGCGAGCTTCTTTCCGTCATCTGCAGAGCCGATATCAGGGGCCTCACCGTCGTCGTGTCGAGTATTGGCTTTGGGTTGTCGATGTTTGGAAGCGTCATCTTCGTCTTGACCGATTAAACGCAAGTAGTACTGCCACTCATGGTACTCGTACTGTTTCGACGACGAACTCTCAACGTCCTTCATCAGTTTCCGAACCTCCTTTGCGAGAACGAAGTGATAAAATCGGATATCACGCTCAAGATAGTCTCCATGCTCGTCCGCCTCCTGTGCTTTTCCAAGCTCCTCCTCTTCAAGGTACGCTGCTAAGCGGTCATCAGTGCGTTGTTCATTTGGACTGGTAGGACCCTCATGATAGCCCACTCTTTCCTCTTCACCGATCTTGCCGGATTTGATCCTTCTCCATCCGACTTTAAGTGCGGCGCTCAGTCCTTCTTCATCTGGTAGGACCGTGAGTGAACCCAGCCAGATAGTAAAGTCTTTGAAAGCCTTAATAACTGTATCACCCATGTTCGAAATAAGAATCGTCAGTGTTGGGACTGCGAGCAAACTCCAAAACACCATGAAGGCTTTCCCGGCATTGCTTTGGACGACATAGTCTCCGTAACCAATTGTGAGGAGAGAAACATAGGCGTAGTATAGCGCCACGAAGTAGGTAAATCCCTGGGGCTTTTCCGAGTACATGAAGACCAGAGCGCCCAGAAACCATAACAGAAGTGCGGCAGTGGTTGACAGAGCCAATGCAGTATATCTTCTCTTCCGCTCGGACAACGTTTGAACGCGCCGCATTATACGAAACTCTTGCTCTCGTCTTTGAGCTTCTGTCAACCCTTTTGAAGAGAAATTGACCTTTTCAAAGATTGAGATGCGTATGGTATGTGTGTCACCATCGATAGACTCGAGGACCTTCTGTCTCTTAACTTCCATGAATCGAGCAGCCATCTTTTGTTTTCCATGCTCTAGAATGAGGGATCGGATGGAACCAATAACCAAACCAACTGTGACTAAGCCACCAATTGCATACGGAATCAAGAGTGAGCGACCAGTGTGTGTTTTAGGCACAAATTCTCCACCGAATCCTATCGTTAGGAGGGTAAAGTTGGCCCAGAACACGGCGTCCAGGAACATCCAGTTTTCTACGTAAGAGAAGATCAGAGCGCCAACAAGCAGATACACCATGAAGGCGATAGTCTGCAACATTAGCGTCCTCTGACTAGCTGTCAATCGAAACTCCCTGGCGTAGTGCCCTTTGTACGCCCCGAAGGCAGTAAAGGCCATAAGAGAGGCGATGATAAAGTAGATGCCGGCAGCTATAATAGCGTAGTAGAATGCTTGGCTCAAGGCATGCTCTTCCATAGGCTGGATCCGAAACACGGATGATGAAGCGACAGCCACAAGCGCCATCAGAAGGAAGCCAGCTAGATAAAAGCCGATGATGGTAATAGGCTGCGCAATTTCGAAAGTCAGTCTCCTTGACATGTTGAGGAGCAGACTGATGTTCGCGCTCAGAGCGAAGACAAGAGAGACTGAGTTGACCGCGATAAGCCATTTCGGATCTGTGATCTTCGATCCATGTCCCTCATCGCTTCCAGGAGGAATATACACTCTCCATTTTTCAACCAGCGCGCAAATCGAAAATCCGTTGGCGATAGGCCCGAATGTTCCTGCTATGAGGGGGCTCGCTGTGGACGCAAACCACCATTGACTGAATTCGTCAGCGTATGCGAAGCGGGGCCGGGGTAATGGGGAACATAACTTGGATCGAGATATTCTCGCTCTTCCTGCTCAGCTTGATCGTCCTCGGCGTGTACTCTGTTGTTTACATCTTGCGCTGCCTCTGTGGCTGGCTCATCAAGGCCGGGATCGTTCATGATCAGTCAAACCGTGGGGTCTTGAACAGAAGAGTTGGTAGAAATGAGTCTAGGTGCATGTTGCGTCAAGAAGAAATGAAACCACGAAGACGACCTGCAGGCGTGTGCACGAGGGGCGTGCATGTGAGATAACCAAGATGCGCGAGATGCGCGGGTTGTCGCGTGGACAACGCCAGGAAATAACAATTGATGACGTACACCCGGTCGGGCCACTCGCTAACTGGAACAAGCCACCAATCTCTGGTTGCTTTGACCGCAACATCAAAAAGGAGTTACCTCTAGTACAGTCAATGGAGAAATGTAAGAGACGTATTGAGTGATGCAGGTAAGCCTATCGGCCCGACTTTCAAATGGTATCTAACTAACGTAAATGCTTCGTAGTAGCTCTTCTGGACTATACACGAGGTTGCCTCGCAACTGGACGTTGAATCGTCAATACGTTCATTTTTCCGACGATGCTTATCTGTGTGATATGCGTATCATGTCTTTGCAAAATCCTATTGCAGATACCGCGGGGGAACATGCAGATAGTCAACAGAAGCAGGTACGCGTAGTTTCGAGGGCACTGGATATCGACAATGAACTAATGGTCAGATCGCGGCACTTGTTCGAGTGATGGCACGGCGGATAGTGTATCTACGAGCACAAGTGAGCACTGACTTGATTCGGCCTATGGTATCAGAGAATCCAGCGGTCTACTTTGATGTAGCAGAGCTGTCTCGAAAGTTGTCTTGGGGCAGTCCGTCAAGCCAAAGCCCATATTACCTTGTTCGTTTGTACTACTACGACGGAAACGGTCAAAAGCAGCGGAATAAGACTCTATCCTTGCTGGATAACTGCTTTGGAGGTTGACAATGTACCCCATGCAAGTTCCAGCGGGATGGCCACGTGTTTCTATGGACCTTGTACGAGCAAGACTTAATCCGCTGTCCTCATTCGTGAACACAGTGAACAACTCTAACATCCAGAGTGTGTAATACTAGTTATCAATCGCAAAGGCTCACGAGCTAGGGGCCTTGATGTTGTTCCGAGGGCCGTCTTTCGAAAGACAGAGTGTTCCATCAAGGCAGGAGGGTTTCGAACGCACGAGCAAACTACCTAGGTGTCAGATGTGCAGAGAGTAAGTGAAACAAGTAAGTCAAATCTAGTCGAGTTGACACAACTCAATGCTCTCTTGTTGTGAAAAGGATCGATATGCTTCTGAGCCTAAATGAAAGAACAGTGCTGACAAACTTCCAGTTAGATGGAGTATACAATGGCGGTCTTGTCGACGACAATCGCTGCAGATGCCTTCTCCGCCCTCTTATACGACTGGAACTCGCCGTAGAGGCGACGCTCTGCTGCGCTATGTGTTGTCAAAAAAGACATATAGCAGGTTAATTACACATCGCACCATCTTGTAAAAAGTGAGAAATGCGTGTCAGCCCTACATTATGGACAGGTAGACGACGCACTCTGGGGAAGACTCTAGTTTCCAAGATCAATAAAGCATGGTGCGACGGACCCGATTTGTGAGTTTATCTATGAATTGTTCATGTTGCGCCGTTCCATTCTCAGTCTCCTTCAGTCACGTCTCAGTGGACATCTCTACGAAACGCCGTAGTCGTCACAATAGTTCGTTTCAGAAACCACATACTGCTATCTAGCAAGAGTAGTATCTGATCACCGGTTACTAAAACGATCCGACAGCGCTGGCAGTCATCATCTCAGACTACTGTTCGTGCAAGAGGCAAAGAGTAATATCGGGCTTTCTTGCATGTCACAGGAATATAGCAGTGCTGAGTGAGATTCGCTTCGTTATGCTGTGGTGATTTTCATCATCGATCAATACAGTCTTTGTTCTCATTCTATGGTGTTGAACATGTCGGACGTTTATACCTACCCTTCATATGTCTGTCAGTTAGCATAGCTGCCAATATCTTTCGTAAGTGGTACAAACTCTCTCATTATCTTCAAACCTACCGGAGGCTTTCTGCCCTCTCTCTTCTTCTTCTCCTCCTCCTTCTCTCACTTGGGTCCCTGGCCTCAAGTGGTGCTTCACCGCTCATCACCTTGTGTCGTGGCTACGAAGAAACTCGTTCTTCCAAAAGAGCATGGATATCGTGTTGATCAGTCACATCTTTGCCCCACATTGTGCCATAGACTTTGCAGCTGCTCTAACCACACCGCATCTCCTTGTGGTACCTTGGCATCAGCGTACATATCAGTTGACACACAGGCTACCCATACATACTCATAATGACATCTTCCTCCTTCACCTGAGCCACAGAAGCTTCTCGCCTCTCGCTTGTTGCTGTGGTCGTCGTCAGGCACCAGGATCTCCCAGGAAGGCGCGCTAAGAGACACTACTGCGTACTGCTCCTGCTCCTTCTGTCGATATAAACAACAACGGCTACTCTCACCGTGACTTCCAACTCACCTACCTTGACCACCCAACGCTCGTCCACGCTGCAATTTATAACCCCTTTCAAGCAGTAGCTGCACGCACTACATCCTCTCATCTATACCATGTCTGACACTGGAGCGCCTGTGGCAACTGCGACCGATCCCGCTGCAGCCCGCAAGGAGCAGCAGGCAGCTGATCTCGCGCGTGCTCAAGATGCTGGATGGAATAATCCTGTCCCTTTCCAGTACGAGACCGTCGTTGGTGGCACTCCCGCTGAGGACGAGACCCGCGACACTGCCGTCTGGCTGTCCGATGCCGCCATTTACCAGTGGGACGA